GACGTGGAGGCTAAATCGCTAGAAGCATGAACATGTTATTAGTCAAAGCAATACGCACAATTTCTTACTACCATAGGAAACTGATCCTCTCCAACTTCAGGCCCTACCTGGAGTTTAAGTCGCCGGCGCCAAAAGACTGCGTAAGGCGGCTCAAGATAGCTCCAAGACGGTCCAAATTGCGCCAAAGGCATTGAACAATTCCCAAGACTCCCAAGATGCGGGAGGGGGTGGGCAAGCACCCTCACCCGTGCGGTGTACCGAATCTCGCATGGTGGGCCGTTTCGTCTCAAATGTCGTCATGGTCGTTGTGCGTGCTGCTCTGCTCGGAATTTGCTTCATTTGTGCACCATGCAGTGGCGACCATCAACTCATCCTCCTCCTGCTCCTACCTCCCCATTTGCTCCGCATTATGGAGCGGCTGCCCCCAGACTTTCGCAGCGCATGGCCCTTTTGGGAGTACCTGGCGGAGCGGCTTCTCCTGGCCCACCAGCAGGTCTTCCGCTTTCTCAGCGGCGGCTCGAGGCGCCACGCTCTTTTGCTGTCTCCTACCGCTGTATACCAGCCTGCCTCGGTACCTCAATGGCAGGCTACATGGCAGCTCGAGAGTGGGCCGCCTGCTCTGCCACACGCCCGCGCTACCGTAGGCCCCGAGCTCCACATGGACTTGCCCGATGTCGCTAATCACACAGTCGAGCGGTGGCACGGGCGTTGGTGCGAGGCCAACTCTCCCAACTTACTCCACATTTATCCTCATCGCGCAGCGGGTGAAGGCCCCTATGCTGCCCGTTTCTCACCCGCTATAAGTTTGGTCACTGTCTACGTGCCCGACCAGATTTTTCTGGACCTCCTCCACACGGGGGCCTGGGAGCAGCCTGCTCTCATCCCTCAGCGTCTTTTGGAGGATGCAGCGGCTGGCAGCCCCATCCTAATTGACTTCCAGGCCATGATCCTGGTGCGGCCATTTTGCCTTCCGTTGTCCTACCTCTCTCGAATCCTCCGCCTCCCTGAACCATAGCCCCTCAGGCCATGCCGACCCCAGATGCGCAGCACCTGCCGCAGTTCGAGCACGGCGACGTCCGCTGCGCACCCACTGAGGCCGTGCCACCGCAGCCTACAGTCGCACAGTGGCTGGTAGTGATCACGGCAGGTCACATTCCGCTCTGGTCTCCACTGCCCATCCATGTGGGACTCCTAATGGAGCAATTCCACGGGCAGGAAACCCGGCTGCCATCTTCAGTGGAGAGACCACGCTTGTTTCACCTCCCCATTCTTCAGGAGACCGACGCACGGTCCATTTTATTCGGCACGGGCATACCTTTTCGCACCGGCCTTTCGCTGCGGGTCAACATGCGCAGCGGAACCATCCTCATCCCTATCGACTCAGCGCCGGGCCAAGCATGCATCAGTCGGCCCATCAGGAGGGTCCTCCTCACCCAGGCGCACGCATAAGCCAGTTAGGTTTCACTCATATATGGCCGTTGGCTTATGGGCTATTTCTTTTCGCTCCTTCCGCACTCCCCCTCCTCTCAGAGCGCGCGGCGCAGCCATGGTTCCTGCGGGCGGGCGCGCTTCGGCGGCGACTGAGGGGACCACGCCCCCGCAGGTGGCCGCGGCCGAGCCCTTCGGCCAATCAGGCGACACGTACTCGGGCTCGGCATGGCAGGGCTCCCAGTACATTGCCGCCAACAGGGAGTTCAAGAAATGGTGGCCAGCTACGTACCCTGGCGAATGGAAGATGCCAAACGGCATGCTCTACCCGTTCGTGTGGAAGCTCAAGTCGCTCGACGTCATCAACGGCCAGGTCGTCGAAACTTGGGACTGGGAATGGATAGAGGCTCCAGGCCTAGCGACCATCTCAGAGGTCGAGACCATGCTGCTGGAGGCCCGGGCGCGAGCGGCGGCGTCGGCGGCCGCGCGGCAGCCGCGCGGTGCATGAGCGGGCCCTAGAGCGTGCTTCCTCCCAGCCGGCGCCATCCCAGGTCGACAAGGGCGACCTCGGCGCTAATAATAGGTGGTGGGCTAGCCTTATACTATAGTCTCTGTTCACCACGGCAGCCCACCACCTAGACAGCCCTAGCCTGCCACACGAGCCAAATGTTTACAGCTGGAGAGCCGTGCTGCTCCAATTTAAGATCGGCTGAGCCGTCCTGCAATCCCGTCGCAGCGGGCCCATCAGTTCTTTCATCTAGCCCCATGCCAAGGGCCGCTGCAAAGCCGTAGTCAGCACCAGTCTCCAGCTTCACACGTCTCTGCCGCACTAGTGCAGCCAACGCGACATTTTTAGCTAGCCCCGCTACCAGAAGAGCGGACAGCTAATGCTCACAGCTCAATTCGCAGACTCGCCACGGCTGAGTCTTCATCATAGGTGGTTGGCCAGCCTAATACCCTATTCTCTGCTTATATCGGCAGCCCACCACCTAGATAGCCCTAGCCAGCCACACGTACCGTAATTCACCAGCTGAGGAGCTTTGCTGCTCCAATCTAAGGTCGGCCGAGCTGGCCTACAGTCTCGTCGCAGCGGGCCCTTCAGCTCTTTTCTTCAGCCCCATCCAGAGGGCGCGCCAGCTGCAAGAACTGTAGCCAGCACCAGTCTCTAGTTTCACACATTCTTGCCGCAGCATTGCGGCCAGGCCAAAGCGACATTTTTGAGCAGCCATGCTACCAGTAAAGCGGTCGGAGCAATGCTCACAGCGCAATTCGCAGACTCCCCACGGCTGAGTCGATACTGCAGCAAGCAAAGTTGCTGCCGCAGCACATCCCACCCGCCGAGTAACTCTCGGCTAATGCTGCCCATCAGAGGTGCGTACCTCTACGGACAGCTACCGCGCCCTAGTGTTGCTTGGCTTGGCAAGATTATCCCTCTCCCTCCCATATGTTCTTCCCTCCCTCTCACGTTTACACCAAGACGTCAAGCACAGCACAGGCGTTCTCGCAGCTGCCCCCCTTTTCCGGTCACGTGCGTAACCGATGGGGTTTCATAGTCTCCTGGCTATTGCGGCAAGCAAAGATGCTGCCCCAGTACATCCCACCTGCCGAGCATTTCTCGGCTAATGCTGGCCGTCAGAGGGGCGTACCTCTACTGACAGCTACTGCGCCCTAGCGCTGCTTGGCTGGGCAAGATAATCCCTCTCCCTCCCTATGAGCATCCCTCCCCTCTTACCACGTTTACTCCAAGACGCCCAGCACAGCACAGGCGCTCTCTCACCTGCCCCCTTTTCCGGTCACATGCGTTACCGATGGGGCTTCCTAGTCTCTTGGCGGCAACGCCAGCCGCTCCCTCCTGGTCCGCTCCGCCACGGCCGCCCTACAGCGCGGCAAGGCCATTTTGGCCCTCTTCCTACTCATCCCGCTCATCTCCATGGCTAAGCCATGCTCCCATCTGGCCGTCCCTGAGGCTAGATTTTCTGCTCTTCGGTCGTTCAGCGCTGCCCGCATAGGGCAACGCCTAGATGGCGCGCTCAGTGTTTCTCGCACGGCACCGATCCCCTCTCCCTCCCCTTCGGTGCCAATACCTCCCCCGCCCATCATGCAGGTCCAATGGCGAAGAATCGCTTTTGCCTGCGGACGGACCAGGAGCGGAGAACCTTTGCCGTGCCCGCTAGGCGGGCTCTGTCTGCCGCCTGGCCGACCTCGGCCACCCAGCTCAAGCTACTTGCAACGAGCCAAGTGCAGTCAAAAAGCCTCATCCTCGTCCCACATAACAGACAGGCGGTCTGAATGGGGTCCCCGCGGGAGCGAACTTCGAAATCCACCAGAAAGCCTTCGATGGACTCATCCTCCTCCTCCTCCTCGTCCCCGTCCTCCTCCTCCAACTCGTCCTCCTCCTCCACCTCCTCCTCCTCATCATCATCCTCCTCATCCTCATCATCCTCCTCATCCTCATCCTCATCATCCTTCTCCTCCGCGTCCTCCTCATCCTCATCGTACTCCTCCTCCTCCTCCTCCTCCTCCGTGCCTCCTCCTCCTCATCCTCCTCCTCTTCCTCCTCCTGCTCCTTCTCCCCTTCATCCTCCTCCTCATCCTCCTCCTGCTCCTCCTCCTCCTCATCCGCGTCCGTTTCCTCCTCCTCCTACTCCTCCTCCTCCGCCTCTTCCTCCTCCTCCTCCTCCTCCTCCACCTGCTCCTCCTCCTTCTCTTCCTCCTCTTGCTCCTCCTCCCCTCCCTCCTCCTCCTCCTCCTGCCCCTCCTCCTCCGCCTCCTCCTTTTCCTCCTCATCCTTCTCCTCCACCATCACCATCATCATCAAAAACAACAGCATCACCACCACCACCACCATCATCAGCATCATCATCATCATCATCATCATCATCATCATCATCATCATCATCATCATCATCCTCATCCTCATCATCATCATCATCATCATCATCATCATCAGCAGCAGCAGCATCAGCATCATCATCATCATCATCATCATCAGCATCATCATCATCATCATCATCATCAGCATCATCATCATCAGCATCATCAACATCATCAGCATCATCAACATCAGCATCATCATCATGTCATCATCATCATCAGCATCATCATCATCATCATCAGCAGCAGCATCAGCATCATCATCAGCATCATAATCATCACCATCAGCAGCACCATCATCAGCATCAGTATCATCTGCAGCATCGTCGTCGGCATGATCATGACCAGCCTCATCCGCAGCGTCACCATGGTCATCAGGATCATCAGCATCGGCATCATCATCAGCAGCATCAGCATCGCCATCATCATCGTTATCCGCATCGTCATCAGCAGCAGCAGCAGTAGCATCATCATCGTCATCATTAGCAGCAGCATCATCACTATCAGCAGCAGCATCATCATCACCATCATCATCAGCCCATCATCAGCATCATCACCAGATTCAGCATCGCCACCATCATCACCAGCAGCAACAGAACCATCACAACCACATCACAATCCTCCTCATTCCTCTGCAATCATCACTGTACGCCCTTCCCCCACCCCACCCCACCCCCAGCCCACTACCCCCCAAATGCCTTCTGGCCGTCGGAGAAGGTGCCCATCTTCCGCTTCTGCAAATCGCCCGCCACGCCGTACTTGCCAAGTTTCGCGCGCCATTCCTGAGCAGCACGCGGAGAAACTGTGGAAATCGAGAAGGGCATGCACCACTTATTCGATGAGGGGGACGGGGTGGGTGGGGGGAAGAGCATGAGGATTTTGAGGACGAGGAGGTTTGGGAGGTGGCAGACGAGTTCTAGGTTCTAGAGGGGTTGCGATGTACTATACAAACCGCGGGAGGTACGACAACACGGAAAATGAGAAGGAGGAAGAAAGGGATGAGAAATCGGAAAGAGTGAGAAAACAGGACAAACAGCAGATTTGTAAGGAAACGGCACGCCCCATGGGGGCAATGCGACCTCCCAGTCCAGAGTGAACTTCCAGTCGAAGCACACCTCGCAATGTGAATACAAGTATCCGTCTTTGTAACCGAGCTTTCCGCCAGTGCGGTTGCACGCAGCGAGACTGACCTCCAGCTCAAGCAGCGACGGCGGAATCCGTCGGGATACGGACTGTGACAAGCACCAAGACAAAGGACAAACACGTCGTAACGCCAAGCGGCGCGGGGTACGTAGATGCACTCTGCAATCAAGCCGACGAAGAAGGTCATCACCAGAGAGTCCTGGCGCCGCAAGTGAAAAATCACCTGCGCGGCAACAAGAAGCGTCGTGAACAACCCAGCCCTGACTGCGCCCACCGTGTCGGACTCCCGCTCAAGCAAGCGAGCCGCGCAACAAATCAGACCGACCAAGCTCCCGGACACAGCTCTGCTGCAGCAGGTTCGCGATCTTTGCGGCCAGGAGAAGAACGGCAAGCTCGTCGGTCCAGGCGAGGCGCGCCAAGCTCGTCGTCAAGACCTCCGCCGCGAAGGCCTCCAAGGACGAGCTCTGAGGGCGCCACTTCGGGGGCGGCCCCATTTTGGTCCTCGCCTGTCCAGCTGCGGCTGGAGCTGGCTCAGCGGCCGGGCCTCGCCGCGCGGCTGCGCGCCACGTCAGGCCGCAGGTCCCGAGCCTCTCCTGGGCATGGCAGTGTCGCGTTCGAGCTCCCCGGCATCGCCCAAGGGTTCGCACCGTCGACGTCGCCCGAGGGCTCGACCAGCGAGATTGCCCGAGGGCTCGCGAGCTCGACCGTGCTTGTTCGGAGCCCGCTCAGCTGCGCCTGCCCGGCTGCACACCACGCGCCCTGCCTCCTCCTGGGACTGGCATTGCCCTTGGGGCCGGCCGCGGCGCCAAAAGAGCGCACCCCCTCCCCCGGGACACGGCACCCGCGCAAGAATCTCGTTGACATTCAGCTGCGTCTGGCTCTTCAGCCGTGCCGGGTGGGGGGAAGAGAAGGGGGGAGAAAGGAGGGAGGAGGAGGCCGGAGAGGAGGGCACATGAGGAGGGAGAGAAGGCCTGGAGAAGGGAGGAGGCGAAGCGAGGAGGCGGGAGGAGGAGGAAATACCCGAGGACGGGGAAGAGCGGGAGAGGGGGAGGTAGGAGGAGGCGCAGAGACACAGAAGGGGCAGGGAGGGGGGAAGGGATAGGTGAGGAACGCGTTGCTCACTCACGCCTCCTCCTCCTTCTCCTCCTCCTCCTTCTCTTCCTCTTCCTCCTCCTCCTCCTCCTCCTCCTCATCATCATCATCATCATCCTCACCCTCATCCTCATCCCTCCTCCTTCCACTGCCCCTCCTTCTCTTCCTATTCCTCTCCCCTGCCCTTCATCACCCTATCAGAAGCCTTTTAACAAAAAACATCTAAAAGGGACCAGAGAAATTGGTCCAAATAAATATGGATAACGACAATGCAGGAACCGTCAGCTGTAGTGCAAGCTGCATGGGGTGCGCGCGCTGCACGACTCACAGGACACTATCAGGATGAGGAGTGAGGCCCAAAGGCTCGAAGAGGAAGGGGCGGAAACGAGGGGCAGGGGGAAACAGCGAAAGTGGCGACGATTTCGCAAATCGCAGCAACAGCGACGGCGAGGTGTCATCTGATCTGCATCAGGCGTCACCCCGCTGGACCTGCCAGGAGACCACGAACGTGGCGACATGTTCGCAGTTCACAGACCCCAGCGACGGCGAGGTCTCAATATGACCTACATGATTAAGACGTCAATCCGCTGGACGCCGCAGCAGCCCTCCGATGCGGTGATAGTCTCGCAGCTCGCAGACCCCAAGGATGGCCCGGTCTAGCCTGAGTCCGCGTAGAACATCATTCCGCGGGACCCCCAGCAGCCCTCGAAAGTGGCGACGGCATTGCAGTTCGCAGCCCCCCCAGGGATGGCGAGGCCTAATCTGGATCTAGGCTTGGTGTCCACTACGCTGCCCACCCAGAGTGCTGACAGTCTCGTAGTTAGCAGCAACCCCCCAGAAATGGCGAGGTCGAATCTGGATCTGCAGAGGCCACCAACGACGCTGTCCCCCCCACCCCCCCAAGCAGCCCGCAACAGCACGCGAAAGTGACGACGGGGAGGGCGAGGTCGAATGTAAATCTGCGCGTGGTACACACTACGCTGTCCCACCCCCCAGCAGCCATTGAAAATTGCGACCGTTTCGCAATCCGCTGCCCCCCCCCTCCAGAATGGCGAGGTCTCATGTTGATCTGCGCTTGCCACACACTACGCTGCCCCTCCCCCCCAGAAGCCTTCGAACGTGGCGACAGTTTCGCAATTGGCGCCCCCCCTCCCCAGGAATGGCGACGTCGAATTTGAAGCTGCACTCGGTACCCATTACGCTGGCCCCCTCCCCCAGCAGCCCTCGAAAGTGGCGACTGCTTCCTAGCTCCCAGCCCCCCAGGGACGGCGAGGTCTAATCGGGATCTGCCTGATGTGTTTGATTGTTCCGACTCGGCTCCTCCTATGATGGGGGGCCACAAATGCTGGACCCCCCAAGCAGCCCTCAAAAGAGGCTACAGGTTCGTAGTTTGCAGCCCAAGTCACGGCGAGGTCTAATCTGGATCTGCAGAGGCCAGCACTATGCTGAACTCGCCCCAGCAGCCCTCGAACGCGGCGACGGTTTCGCAGTTCGTTGCCCCCCCCAGGGATGGTCAGGCCTAGTCTGGGACCTGCGGGGGGCCACCCACTACGCTGGTCCCACCCCAGCAGCCCTCGAAAGCGGCGACGGTATTGCAGTTCGCAGCCCCCCCCCCCCCAGGGATGGTGAGGTCTAATCTGAGCCTGCAATCGGTACCCACTACGCTGCCCCCCCTCCCCCAGCAGCCCTCGAAAGTGGCGGCTACTTCGCAATTCGCAGCCCCCTGGGAGTGGCGAGGTCTAAACTGGATCTGCGGAGGCCACAAGTGGCGACAGTTTCACACTTCGCAGCCCCCGAGGGACCGCAGGCAGGTAGAAGACAGGGAGGAGGCAGGAGAAAAGAGGAGAGAAGGGCAGGGAGGCGGGAGGAGGAGGAGACACGCGCCCGCGAATATGGAAACCCATTGTGAATCGCCGAACGAGCCTTCTGACTAGAGCCCCCCATCGAAAATGTTCAAGACCATCCCAAATTGCCCACAAGCGTCCGAAGCCTCTGACAGCGAAGACAACGACACAGACGACGCCGCTCAAACGGCGGCGGGCCCTCTCGGAAGAGGCTCCAGCAGGGGGGGTAAGCAGCAGAGAGAAGGAGGAAAGGAGGAGGAGGAGGAGGAAGGGAAGTAATCAGAAGGAGGAGGAGGATGAGAAGGAAAAGGGCGGGGCCTCCGGCAAAGTAGGGGAAGCAGCTGAGGGGCGGAGGAAAGGAGGAGGAGGAGGAGCAGCAGCAGGAGGGAAGGGAGGGGAAGCAGTCAGGAGGCAGAGGAGGGGAACCACATGGCAGCACCTACAGGACAGGACCTCATGCCATGAGTGAGTGAGGGGAAGGACGACGAGGAGCAGGGTGACGAAGCGCCCCTTTGATTCAGCTGGCTCGAGCCCCCGAGGCGGCACTGCAGGGTCGTCGTCGTCGTCGCCGTCGCCGTCGCCGTCGTCGTCGTCATCATCGTCGTCGTCGTCGTCGTCGTTGTGCTCGTCGCCGTCGTTGTGCTCGTCGTCGTCGTCGTCGCCGTCGTCGAAGTCGTCGTCGTTGTGCCCGTCGTCGTCGTAGTCGTCGTAGTCGTCGTCGTCGTCGTGGGTCGTCGTCGTCAACGACGTCGTCGTCGTCGAGCGCTCCTGCTCGGACTTGCGCTGCTCGCCCCTCTCCTCGGCCTCCTTGTCGAACTTCTCCTGCAGGAACTGCAGGGGGGACTTGTCCAGGGGCAGCACCTCGGAAGGCCTCCTCCTCCTCCTCCTCCGCCGCCTCCGTCTCCTCCGCCTCCGCCTCCTCCCTCCTCCTCCTCCTCCTCCTCCTCCTCCTCCTCCTCCTCCTCCCTCCTCCTCTCTCTTCCTCCCCTGGATGGCCTGGCGGCGCGCAGAGGTACAGTCAACCCGTACAGGAGGGATGCGCGATAATGATGCAAGGGCCTTGGACGCCCATTTCGCAGTTTCTCGAGCGGGGCGCGGCCAACGAAAATGGCCAAGGATAGACCGAGGGGGCACGGATGCAAGGGTACCCTTGGGAAGGTTCCCCATACTTGCTATGCGGGTCGACTGTAGGGCGAGGGGAAAGCTTCCGAAGAAGCACGACCAGAGCCCCAGACCCCATCTTTCTGCGCCACTGCTCGGGCTGGGTCACTCTTTGTGAGTGTCTGGGAAAACCCGGGGAGCTGCGGGTATGGACATCTGCCCGCCAACGCGGGCGCGCAGATGTCCACATCCACCGCTCCTCGAGATCCCGGGGCACGGTTCCGAAGCAGAGGGAGGGCGCGGAGGAGGAGGAGGAGGAGGAGGAGGAGGAGGAAGAGGAGGAGGAGGAGGAGGAGGAGGAACAGCTGCTGCTGCTGCTGCTGCTGCTGCAATCTGCATCGATGTCCATATCAGTTAGCATAGCTATCTGCTTGCGGGCACCGCAGAGCCTGGGTTTAACTCTAACCAGGGGGCCTGGGACTCAAAAAGGGAACGCAAGGCCTGGTGCCGTCGCTGAGGGCGCGCACAGCGCCAGCGGTGACACCACGGCGCGGGGGTGCTTATCGGTTCTCGCGAGCCAATTCTCTGAGTCTGACTCTAGTCCTGAGGGCCTCCAGCCTATCCTCCCAGGGTCTGCTACTGAGGGAACGAAGATAGGAGAGGGAAGGAAGCTCGGAGCCCTGAGGAGGACGAGGAGGAGAGGGAACATGCAGAGCAGATGATCTGCCTACTCCTCCTCCCGCGCTGCTGGCCTCTGCTGCTGTTCTCACTTCGCCCTGAGCCCGTACGCGAGCCCGCCCACGGGAGCCTTGCCTGGGAGCTTCTGGAGGCCCACCGCTCTGAGGCACAACGTGATGAGCCTGTCCACCGCCACCCATGTGTAGCCGCCCTTCGTGTTCAACTTGAGTGGATGGAACTTCAGCTGATGGAGCTCTGTCCCTTGCGCATCGTTGATCCCGACGGGCCAATGGCCCACGAATTTGAAGCCGAGCCTGGCCGTAGGTGCCACTCCCTGTTTCTGCTGCATCTCGCTCGCCCTGCACGTGACGCACCAATCTTCGAACTCCGCTGGCACTGAGGCGAGACGGGCGGCGTTGAGCCTGCTGAGCGCCGCGAAGATGCATCGTATTTCCTCGGGCTTGTTGTCCATGGAAGTGCCTGCCAAGCTGGTCATCAATGCTGCTCCTGCGTGAAGGTGTGGAGATCCGAACTCGTGTCCTGCCCCTGCTGCCTTGACGCTCTCCTCGTACTTGGTGGTGGACTCTTTGATTGCCAAAAAACACAGGGTGGCCCGACGGGCCTTTGAAGTGCATGTCGCTCGCCTCCCGCTCCCTCATCCGCGCCTCCATCTGCAGTAGTAGCTTCCGCTCCTGGGTGTCCGTGCCGCGCCCCGTGCCCTTGTTCTGCGTCTTGCGCTCTGGTGCCTGCCCCTGACCCACTTCCTGCGCCATCACCGAGTCCAGCCACACCGACATCGAGATGAATGATGTGCTGCTGGATCTGAGGTAGAACGTGAGCGCTGGCAAGATGCTGATCAAGCTGCTCTGGTGTTTGAGCGACAAACAAGCACAACGGACACTGCGTAACAACGTGGGGTTGACGCCGAGGGGCTCGCACACTAAAGTCAGAAATACACCGTCTGTTCAGTATCGCCGCTGCAAGGTGCCACTGGGCTGTGGCTCGATCTGCGAAATTGCTCTGGCACAAGATACAATAATTCGACAACGTGGCAATGTGTGGGATCCTATCAGCGGCGCAAATCTTCCTCAAAATTTCATCAGTGTCCGTTCTTCATGTGGCACACACCCTCACGCAATGCGCCACCATACTCTTCTGATCCCTGAAGCTTTGCTCACAGATTGGGCAGAGGATGCCTGGCACACCCCCTGTCTCTGGCGTGGGGGGACAGATGATTTCAGCAGGGCCCTGGCTTGGAGGAGGAACTGTGCGCGCTAGCTCCTTGGACCTAAGCTCTGAAACATCGATTCTGGAAAACGAGCCCCTGGCTTCCCCTTTAAACAGATCCCAAAAACTCCCACCCAGCTCTGCGAGCAAATTTGCCCCCTCCGGGGTCCCCTCGAGCGCCTCTAAATCTTGCCAAAACTGCTTTAGCCATGCATTGGCTGTGGGTAAAACAACCCCGTTTGCATCTACATCTAAATTCTGATGCTCACATTCGGCTTGTCCCACTAGTGCTGCGATAGCTTGCTCATGAGCTTGCTGATGTGCTACCGTTTCTTGCAATCATTTAAGTCGTCGTATGCGTAGCTCAGTGAACAGCGCCCCACAGTGGAGGTGCCTCTGAACCTCGATGTTGGAGGGGGGCCGTGTGCGATCTATTTGTCTTTGGGTGTATCTTCCTCGAAGCACAACCCTGGCAAACTTGAAAACGAGCTGTTGTAGAGGTGCAAGACTCTGCTCTGTGATGGGGGTACGCATGTTGAGCACGTAAGCCTCGAGGCCCGAGATGGCTGCATTGATGATCAGCCCCGCGAAGACAATCCCTTTGAACCTCATGGAGACCCGTGGAGCCGCCCAAAACTTACCCATTTTGTGCCACGCCGCACGGAGAGCCTGCATTCCAAACTTCTTTTCAGCTGAGAACCCATCGTTGAAATGTAGACGCCCTCCCAGATAACGAGCCTCGGCTAAGACCTGACCTTCGATTCGAACACGCGTTTCATGAAACTTGCGATTGAGGAGACCTGCTTCTCTGCCTGAACCCTGGACAATGTTCATTTGCTTCTCAACGTGCTGTGCTCCTCCTAAGTCCGATAATGCTGCATCAAGTATGTTGTTTTCCCACTGCGCGACTGCGGCCAAGTGCTTCGCATTCGCACCGATGAGCTTACGCGCTACATCATCCACAAAAACAGATGTTGCAATATCGGGCGGATCACGGTGATGAGGCGCCTGAAGTTGATCGGGCATCTTCATGTGTAATGCCCTCTGCCATGGATCTACATTCATGTGATCAATCAAGTGCTGAATTCCCTTGCCGTATGCTTTCACAAATATCTTGGTGGCTGCGTGATCGCCTGGTAGTACACCTGTCTGATTTGCCATGTGTCCACTGTGTGCGCCGTCATCGATGATGAATGAGCTGTTGACAAGCCTCTGGTAGACCATGTCCACTCGTTCTGTTGAGACCAATTCGTCAGCTGCTTCTCCTGCTTTCAACTTGTGTACACAATAGAACGCATTGCTGGCATCGCGTAGTCGCGTGACGTGGTGAACCCCTGCTCGGCGAAGACGCGCAGAACCACACATCTGAACCAGCATTGCATCCTCGCGTCTGCGATGGGATATGCCGCCATGTGCCCAATACGGAAAGCGTGCATTGGGATCCATGAGAGCGCGATAGTAAGATCGTCCAAGTCCACAGAAAATCATGATGGGTCTTTCTCCGGCCGTATTATCCTTGTCATTGTGTTTCGGCAATCTGCAACACTGCGCCTGATGCCAAACTGCAGGTACTTGTCCCTCTCGACGTGCTGCGCGGCAGACAAGATAGAGGCATTTCTCAAACATCGGTGCTTGCAATTCCGTAGTCGCTTCTGTGGAATCTTCTGCTCCTCCAGTTGGCGATGAGCTGTGCTCTCTCTGTTCAGCAGCCAGCGGGGCGGTGACGCCGCTGTCGTGGACGAGGTCCTCTAAGGGGTCGGCGAACTCCAGGTCTGCTGCTCCTCATCGCGTTGGTGCCGAGGGTCTGCGAGAAAGGCCGTCCACCGACGTAACTGCGCGGTCTTCTCGCTGTGGTGCTGCATCGTCGTGTAGCAGATGTCCTCGACGAAAGACTGGTGCTCCTGGTCCCGAAGTCGTAGCCGGCTGTGAATCTGGTTCGCGCTCTGGTGCAGGTGGGTCTGCTGCCGTTCGAAGTCCTGCTCTGTGCTGCTTTTTGTAGTACCAATTGGGCATGGCGAACACTCGTAAGAGGTCCCCCGATGTGCTCCAGTCAGGCGTCGACCTCCAAGACGGTAACTTTTTTATGACCTTGCGAAGCTTTTCAACATCAATAAGTGCATGCTCATGCGCTGCCTGGTAGTCAATCATTTCGTCGTCATTGGCTCCCGTCCATTCAAGCAACGATGGCTGGTGGCTGTTGCTGCCAATGACGTTCTCAGAAAAGGGTTGCCTCCAGAAGCCGACGGCGCGAAGTGGTGCAGCGCACCGAAGCAGTACCCGTGCCTCAGCTCCTCCCTCTGGACCATTCTTCTGAAACTTACTGATCCAGTCCATTGCTGAGGCTCGTGATGTCGGGACCTTGCTGTAGTGCCTTCCACGCGGCCCCCTGCAGGTGCCTGCTAATAGTCTGGCTAGCCGATGTGCATCGTAAAACTTTCTCTCACGCCATGCTTCCCATAGTGCTTCCACTCGATTCGCAAGTAACTCATCCACCACCACCTTCTTGCGATGTTTCAACTTTCTGCTGAGTCGAGCAATGCTGAGATTCAAATCTGCATGTTCACGCTCCTGCTCTTTGGCCAGCCGTCGGTGACGCAGTAGTTCACGAACCTCTCGGCATTGGTTGAAGCTGTCCTCTACCTTTTCCGTGTAGCCTGGCGTGTCCCTCAGCTGTGCTCGTGCCACTCCGTCAATACATTGCATCATTCCCGCATTGATCATATCAACGTTGCCCTCAAATTCCCATTGCTCAAATAACTCCATCTTTGCCTGTAGTTGTGCTTCGACTTGTTGTATGAATCGTTCTCGTTGGTGTCCGTACAATAGCATCGCGTTACGCGCCTCTGCATTTGGCT